TGCATGCCACTGGGACTCGAGGTAGAAGCACTTATGAGACACAAAGTAGGTGCTAGGGATCAAATGCAGGTCCTTTGGGAGATCAGTAAGTGCTCTTCACTTCTGAGCCACCTCTCCAACCCTGTCTCTGTGTGAAGTTTATAATATTTATGGAAGTAAAATGTATGAACTGAATAGCCTGAGAATCCAGGATGTTCTCTTCTACAGTGGGGTTTCCCATGTGTAACGTGGGGTCATAAAACATTACTCGATTGCCTGTTATGATAAGTTTAATATGTATACTATGATCCCCAAAGCAATAATGAAAAGAACAATCTGCTAGTAAGCCAAATAGAGCCATAAAGATATCTATTAAGTTGGAACTTTAAACTTCGTACCTTAAAAGATTAACAACACCAACAGAACAAGGAATATGGTTAGTAGAATAAGTTACAAAATAGAATAGTGAAAAATACTTACGCCAAAATAAGACAGCAAAAGAGGAAGGAGGGAAAAGAAAATAAGAAACCAATGAATTCTTTTAGACTTATATCCAACAATGTCTGTAATGATGATAGAAACTAGCTGTTAGATTATAGATAAAAGCAATGCTCATGCATATGGGTGTTCTGTAGTCAGTGGGATATTCAAAGAAGGTGAATACAATTTAGGCTTTTCAGCAGAAATCAGGTCCAGTCTTTGATGGACCAAATGTCAAACTGCTGTTCCAAAGCATATTTATTGATTGCTAGAGAAAAGTTGTTTTATGGGTAAAACAAATCCTCGTACCAACACCCTCTTGATCTGTTCTGCATGTTTGCTGAAGGAAACCATAAGACTCCTGAAATATAGTCCTTCTTGTGTACTGTCTGCAGTAACCAATAATTTAAGATTCTCCAGTTGTGCCAAGATGGACCTGTCATCAAAATCATGCAGCAGATGGAAAACTCCATCAAAAAACCCAACTCTTTAAATCATGAAAAACAATCACTGTTCCAGATTATGATTTTTTCAAGGTCTAAGAACTTCTTACTATTACATTCTATTGTTATTAGATACAACTAGAAACAACTGTTACATTCTAATGTTTTGACACCATGACTCTATTAGATTCCCACTACAATACAGCTCATTATAACTACACCAGATTCCCAATATGTTTGAGTGCTTGGTCTCCAGTTTGTGGCAGTGTTTGGGAAGGATTAGGAGGTGTGGCCTTTATAGGAAGTGTGTCATGGAGGTAAGCTTTAAGATTTCAAAAGTCCACTCATTCCCAGTTAGCTCTCTTTCTCTCTGCCTCATGCTTGTGGGTTAGGATGGTGCCTCTTCATAGCAATAGAAAAGTAACTAAGGCACCAGGCAAGTGCTCTACCACTGTGGTTCGTCACCCAGTCTTTAAAGATTTTATTTAAACATAGGGTCTTCCTAAGTTATTTAGGCAATGGGTGATGCTTAATCTCAGCTTTCCTAATGCAGAGATGAGAAGAAAGGGTGGCTATGTCCTTCCTTAGGTGTCCCTTCCTTAAAAAGATTTCACTTCTCTTTACTGGAGAGAGAGAGAGAGATTGGGTGAGGGAGGGAAAGCTGCATCCTTCTTGTGAAGTTCAGCCAATGCCTTCTGATTTTGGCAGCAGAGTTATAGTTCAGTGATTCAGGAAGGAGAAAGGTGATTCATGGAAGGAAACCATGGTGGTTTCAGACATTGCACCTGTACTTTTCTGACCTTGGCAAGGTGTCACAATAGACTTTGGCTCTATTGGGAGGTTCAGCATTTAAAAAGGGGTCTGTGAGCAGCTTTTACAAACTGCTTAATGATGAACAGACCCGCTATGTCTCTGGAGCTGGGGTGATAAAGTGGCTTGCAGTGGTAGTGAACATACCTTTGCCATACTGAACTGTTAAAGCCAACATACAAAGCCGTAGTATTAGTCATAGCCAAGCCTGCTTAGCATTTGAACAAAAAAGGCTCTCCTGATCAGAAAATGATTACACATACACAATTAAGGCAGATTCAGGTGAAAAAGACCTCTGAATGGATCACAGTGTTAAATAAATGTTCATGGGCTTAGGAGAGAGAGAGAGAGAGAAAAAAAAGAGTACAGACAGTCATAGATTAAAGAAGTAAAGATGATAAGATAAATATTAAAGGTAATAGAGTATAAAAAGGCATGCAAAGATATAAAATACACAGAGAGTTTGAATTATGTATATCATTGTGTGTTCATTGGAATTTTTGAGTGCTAATGAATTAACAACTGAAAAAATTTGATTCTGGGGGCTGCTATGCTAAACTAACCTATATATTTTTAAAGTATCTTGACTTCAAAATTTGAGTCTAAAGATACAATATTTTGGAAAAGAGTTTCTGCTTTTGTTTCCACAGAAGATTAGAATCTGTGAATTCCTTCCAAGCTAATGTGGTTTTATGGAACAAAACCCTCTGAAAGGTCTCCAAGAACCCCTCAAAATACTTTGACCAATAAACATCCAGAAGCAGTTTGGAGCAAGCAACACCCAGATTCTCAGAATGATTGTTTATAAATGCTTGTTTTCATTGAAAAGTGGTTGGGTATAAATAGTTTATGGTGACAGTCAATTTCTTTTTTAAAAAGGGTGATATGATATAGAGATGCATACGTGGCATTAGTATGGATCTTAGACTATTGATACAAATTTAGGACTGATTTCATTAGACTGTATATCTTTATTTCTGCTCTTATTTAAGTTATTGTGTTTGTGCAGTTCATTTAAAATTAACTGTATAATTTAAAATTACCGATTAATAGTCATTTATAATAGTCAAGCCTATAGTCATGTTAGTTATGTTTTCTAGGTATACAGAATACATTTCAGTTAGATAGATAATCTTCAACACTTCAAAGACTGACAGAATATGGCACTTAAAATATTTTAAGAGCTGGGCGATGGTGTCGCACGCCTTTAATCCCAACACTTGGGAGGCAGAGGCAGGCGGATCTCTGTGAGTTCGAGACCAGCCTGGTCTACAGAGCTAGTTCCAGGACAGGCTCCAAAGCCACAGAGAAACCCTGTCTCAAAAAAATATTTTAAGAACTTAGACTTTTCTCAACAGTAAGACATGTCTGCTTCTGGCAGCACCAACTTCTTCAGGGACATTATTAATCATTGAAGAAACTCACTATGGAATTTGCCTTCAATATGACAAGGCTAGCCATTTGGGCAAGAAACTACTCTTGCCTGATCTGCTTGATGGTATGCTGAATGAACCGGACACACAGGACCCACAGAAAAATGACTGCTGAACTTGCCTAAAAAAGGCGAGACAATCCTTCAGCGTTCCTGCTTCACGAAAGAGTCTGCCAGACATTTGGCAGGGCACAGAATAAAGTGACTGACAAACTGCCAATACAGGAAAAATTGTCTTTAAAGTTTCCTGCTTCATGGAAAAGCCTACCAGATATTATGGGCCTGTAGGCTAAAGATGGATACCTAAATCTTGCAGAAGAACTTTGGATTACTGTCCAGGCAGCGAGATGTTTCCATCAATTTCTAGAGTTTTAGAAGTTGCTTACAATGCATTTACTGTTTATTTAGACAATATTATATCCTTCTGTGAAGTTCGATGGAGTTGAAGGCAGATAGTTATAGTTTTTTTAGTTATGATAAAAATAAATTAGATATGAAACTTTGCAGTTACTAATAGACTAAACATTGTAGGTGTAATTCTTTTTTGATACATGTTTTGCTATATGTAATTTTATTATGTTAAAGTTAAACCCTTCCTTTTGATTTAGACAGAGAAAGGTATTGATGTGGGATTCTTCTTTGTATAATGAAAATATGTTTTATTAATAAAGAAGCTGTTTTGGCCTATGGCATTGTAGAATAGAGCTAGGTGGAGAAAACTGAACTGAATGCAGGGAGAAGAAGGACGATCAGGGAGATGCCATGTAGCTGCCAAAGGAGAAAGATGCCATAAACTTACTGGTAGGACACATCATCATGGTAATACACAGATTAATAGAGATGAATTTATTTAGATGTAAGAGCTAGCTAGGAGTATGTCTAAGCTATTGGCCAAACAGGGTTGTAGTTAATATAGTTTCTTTGTGATTATTCCAGTCTGTATGGGCAGGAAATGAACAAGCAGTATCCATTTCTAAAACTAAAAATAATGCTTTACAGGATTGACCACAGTGTGATTTTATGGGCAATTTTTCTCCACTGATGTTCCTTCTTCTCAAATGACCTAAGCTTGTATCAAGTTGACATTAAAGCAACCCATCAGAGCTACCCAGAGCTTCCAGAGGCTCCTCTGCCAGGTTTCAGGCTCTCCTCTGCTGGCTCCCGATCTCCCCACTCCTGCATCTCTTGCTTCTCCTATTTCTCTCAGTTTTGGCCATCACCAGCCAGAGATACCATGCGGACTCTCAAGAAATCTCATCTGCAGCTCCTTGGAGACTTGGGCCAGGGACTGCACAGATACATAGAGACACACACAAGACCACGCAACACTCTTCTCTTACTTAAATGTGAATACATTCACATATGAATCTATGAACATACAGATAGGCCTACACAATTTAAAATTATATGCAAACAGACCCCCAAGATACGTAAGAATAGACCAGAAAGCACATCTAGACTCTAACACAGAAACATCAAACTGCATTTTCATATTAGAAATGACTTTTTATAAATAAAGCACACAGTAAATATGCACAGGTTCCATGTCTGAGAAAATAAACAGACAGAAGTGAGATGGCATATGTACACTCACCCTCAGAAATTGAGACACATTACTCCCTATGCCCTTTGTCCTGTGTATCTTAATCATGGTGTTCTTGCCAACATGTAGGTTGGAGGTAAGAAGATAGGGAGTGAGCAGGTCACTGACAGCCCAATCAGGAAGCATGGTACTCACACTCCTGGACAGTGAGGAGACAGGAGGCAGGAACAGATGAAGTTGCATAATTGGGTGGAGATCCAGGTCCAGCATAAAAGTCCTGCTGGAGTGTACAGGGAAGTGGACGCTGCTCAGACCAGGACCATGGAGCCCAGTTTGCTGCTCCTCCTTGCTCTCCTTGTGGGTTTCTTACTACTCATGGTCAGGGGCCACCCAAAGGCCCGTGGCCACCTTCCACCAGGACCCCGTCCCCTGCCACTCTTGGGAAACCTCCTTCAGATGGACAGAAGAGGCCTCCTCAACTCCTTTATTCAGGTCAGACATGCCCACAGCCTGTGATGTATGGGATTAGCCCCATGTTTACTCCTGAAGATCACTCATTTGGGGTAAAGAAGGAACTCCTTCCAGGCAGTAGGGTCAGGTGGGAAGATTGCTGAGTGAAAGGTGAGGTGCTGGTTGGTGGTGGATGGTGCTCAGGTTGACAGGTGTGTCCTCGCTGTGGAACACTGTGAGACTCTGTGCTTGGAGTGTGAAAGGTGTTGGGGTGTCATTGCGTGCACCAAGGGCTTACAGTTTTCCTATCTGATGTTTCTTTGTTTCAAAAAAGAAACAAAAATGTCACAGGCATCCACAGATAAGGTTTGCTTCTGCCAATACAAGGGATTAGCCTGCTGTGTTCAGGAACAAAGGGGATGAGAGGCAGGTCAGGAGGTGGAGTAGGTAGGGAGAGCTTATCAGTTATAAACACAAGGACCATCCAAGGAGCCGACCCTGAAACCATCTCTACCAGTATTCACATTTGAGATTTCATGTTCAATTACCGCTTCTCTATTAATAATCACTTAGTATCTTTGGCTCCACTTCCTGTTTAGAGAACTGATTTAGTGACAGTAATCCCGACTTCTGCTACCCCTTGTTTTTTTAAAATATTTTATTAACCATCCCACTCCCCCAAGCTGTTCCCAATCCTCCCCTTCTCCCTTTTATCTCCCCTTCTCTACTTTCCCCCACCCTACCCACACCCCTATGCTCCCAACTTTAGCCTGGCGATCTTGTCTGCTTCCAATATCCAGAAGGATCTATATGTGTTTTTCTTTGGATTCACCTTATTATTTGGTTTCTCTAGGCTTGTGAACTATAGTCTCAAAGTCCTTTGTTTATGGCTATAATCCACTAATGAGTGAGTACATAGCATATTCATACTTTTAGGTCTGAGTTATCTTACTCAGGATAGTGTTTTCTTTTTTTTTTCTTTTTTCTTTTTTTTTTGTTTTTTTGAGACAGGGTTTCTCTGTGGCTTTGGAGCCTGTCCTGAAACTAGCTCTCTAGACCAGGCTGGTCTCGAACTCACAGAGATCCGCCTACCTCTGCCTCCCGAGTGCTGGGATTAAAGGCGTGCGCCACCATCGCCCGGCTAAGGATAGTGTTTTCTATTTCGATCCATTTGTCTGCAAAATTTAAGATGTCATTGTTTTTTTTTTTTACTGCTGAGTAGTACTCTAATGTGTAGATATTCCATACTTTCTTTATCCATTCTTCCATTGAAGGACATCTAGATTGTTTCCAGGTTCTGGCTATTACAAATAATGCTGCTATGAACATAGTTGAACAAATGCTTTTGTCATATGATAGGGCATCTCTTGGGTATATTCCCAAGAGTGGTATTGCTGGGTCCAGGGGTAGGTTGATCCCGAATTTTTTGAGAAACCACCACACTGATTTCCAAAGGGGTTGCACAAGTTTGCATTCCCACCAGCAATGGATGAGTGTTCCCCTTACTCCACATCCTTTCCAGCATAGACTATCATTGGTGTTTTTGATTTTAGCCATTCTGACAGGTATGAGATGGTATCTCAAAGTTGATTTGATTTGCATTTCCCTGATAGCTAAGGAAGTTGAACATGTCTTTAAGTATTGTTTGGCCATTTGAAATTCTTCTGTTGAGAATTCTCTGTTCAGTAAGTGCCCCATTTTTAATTGGGCATATTTAGAATTTTAATGTCTAGTTCTTGAGTTCTTTATGTATTTTGGATATCAGAGATGTAGAACTGGTTCAACATAAAAAGATCTATCAATGTAATCCATCATATAAATAAACTGAAAGAAAAAAACCATATGATCATTTCATTAGATGCCCAAAAAGCATTTGACAAAATTCAACACCCCTTTATGATAAAGGTATTGGAGAGATTAGGAATACAAGGATCATATCTAAATATAATAAAAGCAATATACAGCAAGCCAACAGCTAACATCAAATTAAATGGAGAGAAATTCAAAGTGATTCCACTAAAATCAGGAACAAGACAAGGCTGTCCACTCTTCTCCATATCTCTTCAACACAGTATTTGAAGTTCTAGCAATAGCAATGAGACAGCATAAGGAGATCAAGGGGATTCGAATTGGAAAGGAAGAAGTCAAAATTTTGTTATTTGTAGATGATATGATAGTGTACATAAGTGACCCCAAAAACTCTACCAGAAAATTCTTACAGCTGATAAATAACTTCAGTGATGTGGCAGGATACAAGATCAACTCAAAATAATCAGCAACCCTCCTAAATACAAAGGATAAAGAAGTGGAGAGGGAAATCAGAGAAATAGGACCTTTCATGATAGCAACAAATAGCATAAAGTATCTTTGGGTAACACTAACCAAGGAAGTGAAAGATATATTTGATAAGAACTGTAAGACTTTGAAGAAAGAAATTGAAGAAGATACCAGAAAATGGAAAGATCTCTCATGCTCTTGGATTGATAGGATCAACATGCTAAAAATGGCAATTCTACAAAAGGCAATTTATAGATTCAATGCAATCCCCATCAAAATCCCAACAAAATTCTTCACAGACCTTGAGAGAACAATAATTAACCTTATCTGGAAAATCAAAAAACCCAGGATGGCCAAAACAATCCTGTACAATAAAAGAACGTTCAGAGGCATTTCCATCCGTGACACCAAACTCTATTACAGATGTACATCATTATTACAGTAATGAAAACAGCTTGGTATTGGCATAAAAACAGAGATGTTGACAAATTAAATCAAACTGAAGACCAGGATATTAATCAAAAAACCTATGAACACCTGATTTTTGACAAAGAAGCTAAAATTATACAATGGAAGAAAGAAAGCATCTTTAACAAATGGTGCTGGCATAACTAGATATCAACCTGTAGAAGAATGAAAATAGATCCATATCTATCACCATGCACAAAACTCAAATCCAAATGGATTAAAGACCTCAATATAAATCTGACCACACTGAACCTGACAGAAAAGAAAGTGGAAAGTAGCCTGCAATACATGGATATAGGACCACTTCCTAGGTATAACCCCAGTAGCACAGACTATAAGAGCAACAATGAATAAATGGGACCTCCTGAAATTGAGAAGCTTCTGTAAAGCAAAGGACACTGTCATTAAGACAAAAAGGCAACCTATTGAATGGGAGAAGATCGTCACCAACCCCACATCAGATAAAGGTCTGATCTCTAAAAAATACCACTTGTTTTTTAATATATCACCCATGTGGACCAATGATGTATTCATTTGTTTTTTATTTTTTATTTTTTTGAGACAAGATCATCCTCTTTTCTCAGGCTAATGATCCTTCTGACTTAACATCTCAAATGCTGGATTTAAAGATGTGTGGTGTATCTGACCAGAAGTGTTTTTAAAATGTGCTTCCCACATGTTGTAAATGTCAACTTAACATCATATTTATATTTTATTTTTTGTTTGTTTATTTGGTTGCTTTGTTATTGTTATTTTCCTTTTATTTCTTTCTGATTTTTTTGAGACAGGGTTTTTCTGTGAAACAGTACTTCCTGTCCTAGAACTCACTCTGTAGAGAGACTCAAACTCATCAAGATCCACCTACCTCTGCCTTCTGAGTGCTGGGATTAATTTTTATTCCTCGAAAGTCTAATTCGTTCATTTCTCATTTTTCTGTCCTTTTCTCTGTGTCTAAAGGCCCTTCTTACTTGAAGGTAAATATGGTTGCCTGAGTGAGTATGGATGTGAGTGCAATTGACTGGAAGTTGATCAACTTACGAACAGCTACATTCCTGAAGAAAGTGGCACTTCCCCCAGCATCCTTAACTATCCAGAGACTCACAGGGAGGGCTGGTGACATCCTTCATGATAGCACAACATGCTGTATCTTTTCCCTGTAGGGACAGTTATCATGTCATCTGCAAACAAGGTTACCAGGTGTTGGCAATGTGCTCTGGGAAGGGAATTGCTACCCTCTACAGAACTCCTTAAAGAATTGTTCAAATCCACGACTCAGTGTATGTGGCAATGTCTGGAAGCTGAGCTGACCTCCTTGACTGTCAGGAGATAAGAGTCTGTTTAAGATGTAGAACAAACTCATAAAATTTAATTAGTCAAGTTATCTGCTCATCTGGGTGATACTGGATACAAGTAAAACAAGAAGATGTGGGAGGAAGCTGCTTTTTGGTTCCTGGCTGCTCAGCCCTGAAATAATCACAGAGAAATTAATTAAATCACTGCTTGGACCATTAGCTCTAACTTCTTATTGGCTAACTCTTCCATCTTAGTTTAACCTATTTCTAGTAATCTGTGTATCTCCACAAGACTGTGGCTTCCCAGCTAATGTTCCCGGTGTCTGTTTCCAGTGGCTCCATGGCTTCCCCCTAACTCTGCCTTTTTCATCCCAGAATTCAGTTTAGTTTTCCCTGACTAGCTCTGCTCTATCCTATCATGGGCTCAAGGCAGTTTCTTTATTAACCAATGTTATTCACAGCATACAGAGGAGAATCCCACATCAATAAGAATTTTAAGACTGGTTGAGAGTTCAGACAGACTTACGTAAGAGACAGGACTTGAACAAATCACAGAGACTTTCTAGGAAGATGACAGGTACGGAAAAGAAGCCATTCCTGAGCAGCAGCTGGTGCTAGGGAAAATGTGGAGCCAGGTGGATGAGGTCACAGTGTGACAGAAGAGAGGCCGGCACTGAATCTTCAGGTCAGGGGGATAAACTGGCATGGTGTGAGCCAAAGATGGCAAGAACTGAAGTGATTCAACTAAGTAGGCAAGAGAAAGCTTCCTCATGTCTTTATCTCTTTTCTGTTGCAACCACAAAATTCCAGAGGCTAAGTTCTTTATAAATTAAAGGCTTATCCTACACAAAATTGTGCAGTGTGACAGTCTAAGATCAAACAGTCTCTTTTTCCAGCTTCTAGTGAGAACCCTTCTCGTGTGTCACAATACAGTAGAGGACAGGAAAACCTGTTCATGCAGAAGAGGAGAACCATGTAGATTGGTATTGTTTAATAATAATCCATTCTCTGAGAACCCAGTCCTCTCTGTGAGACCAGCATTAACCTATTCTATGGATCTGCCCCAAAGACCCAGTGCCTCTCACTAGGTTCTAGCTCCCCAGGGCTCTGACACTTCTCAACACAACCATTTTAGGGACTAAATCAGCAGCAGAGAATCCGTGAAGGCATAGCACATGGAACAGGCAAGAGGAAAGAGCAGCTGGTCCAGACAGATGCGTCTGGATGCCATGTGGTAGTGATGTCCTGTGGTGAAACCCAGACACAACCGGATTGACTCTCTCAAGTGTGTTGTGGATGAGCCAGGAGCCTGTCTCAAATACAGCTGCCAAAGACTGTGTCAGCTCTGTGTTCTCCAAACCCATTTGCTGATGCATGTGAGGCAGCAGCTGGGAAGCCCTCTGGAATGTCTCTTGAAATCTCTGGTGGCTCAAGAAGCTGAGATCTCTTCTAGGCGTCTGTGTTGTTCTAAGATCATCTGTGTTGATGTAAGATTATTGTGTTGACTTTAATCATGGTGTTTTTGTTACAAAATCTGAGTCTTAATGACGACATTCTTTTGACCAGTGGTAGAGACACAAAGAGGAGCTGGACCATCAAAGCTACTAATAGGATTAGAAACCACTAGAATTCTACAGTGTCACAATAACACTTAATTTTTTTTAAATAAGTAAACTCTATTTTTACTGACTGGGGTCTGGTCTACTGAAGCACAGGACTTGAAAGGAATCCATGGTGTCAGTGCAACCTAAGATTTATCTATCCAATGGGGCTATGGAGAAAGACATTCACATACTCCCTCAATGGTTTCCTTCTTTATTCTCTATTCTTTTTGTCTTCTTTCTACTCTATACCTTTTTGTAGGGTTTATATAGCCCAACATCTGCATCCACATCTGTATCTATTATTTTTGAGAGAGGGTCATGTGTAGGTGAGACTGGTGAATTAACCTTCACCTTTTAGGTCCTCAGGAAAGAAAGGATGGCCAGCGGAGGGATACCTATTTACCAGTCTGTGTTTCGGTGTTTTTACACTGTAACAACGTCTGCACTGACTAACCACAACCGTCATACCCTTGTGCTTGGCAGCTTCGAGAAAAATATGGAGACGTGTTCACAGTGCACCTGGGACCGAGGCCCGTGGTCATGCTGTGTGGGACAGAGGCCATAAGGGAGGCTCTGGTGGACCAAGCTGAGGCTTTCTCTGGCCGGGGGACCATTGCTGTGCTTGAGCCAGTTGTGCAGGGATATGGTGAGATACGGGGCAGGATGAAGTGGCAGATGTGGTCTGGGACGATGTGGGTGAGAGGTGGAGCCCGAGCTGCAGGGAAGGACTCAGGGTCTTTGAACTTCTATGATAACCCAGCCATGCTTCCCCTACATACTTAGGTGTGATCTTTGCTAATGGGGAACGCTGGAAGACCCTTAGGCGATTCTCTCTGGCCACCATGAAGGACTTAGGAATGGGCAAGCGGAGTGTGGAAGAGCGGATTCAGGAGGAGGCCCGATGTATGGTGGAGGAGCTGCGGAAATCCCAGGGTGAGTCCCAGAGAATGAGCAGAAAGGAAGATGGTGACACAGTGATCCGAGTGCAGAGCCTAAGAAAGAGAAAGACAAGGGCTGAGAAACAGACAGACAGACAGACAGTCACACACACACACACACACACACACACACACACACACACGGACATTGAAAGGATGAGAAAAGGACACAGGTAGAAAGAGAGAATCACAAGAGCAGGAAAGAAACGTGAGGTATATTGTTTCCAAAATAACTCAGAAGCACGTACTGCCCATGGTGGTCAATTCTCTTCAGAAAATCAGTCTCTGTGTTAATTCTTTTTGTCAATTAGGTAGTTTTGGTGGACACCCATCCTCTCAGAACTCAAAAGTTGAAACAAGATGACCATGAGATCAAGGCCAGCCCTGTCTACAGTGTGAGGTCCTGCCTTTGATGTGGCTGTGGCTGAGTTGTACAGAGCTTACAGCACCATATACAGTGGGCATGGTCCTGCATGTGTGTAATCCCAGCACTCCAGGGGTGGAGACAGGAGGATGAGATTTCCAAGGTCCTCTTCTACTGCACAAAGTGTTCATCCAAGTTCTTCTTCTACTGCACAAAATGTTCAAGACCATTTTGACTTAATGTTCGTAATTGCCCGCTATCCCTGCACCCCTCCACCGTCTCATCAAAGGCAAACACAGACCTTAAGTCAATGAAGGGAAGGGAGCAGGAGGACCTGCAGACATGGGCTAAGCAGGGAACTGTGTTTTCTTCCTTGTGAGTGTGTTGGTGAGCAGCAGTGAGCACAGAGGCTAATGGGAGTTTGATTTTGGTAAAAATCAGAGGTACTCTGAGGGTATTTTAAGTTTGTTGTATCAAGGGCACATTGGTTACAAGACTGTTGCTTCCACCTCCATTTCTTTATACGGGGTATTTGCGATTTCTTATTGACCTTTCTCTGGAGATCTGGGATGTCAGTGCAGAACTGTGGAGGGAAGAAAGGTGCAGAGGGTGAGAAGAACAATGGGAGAAAGAAGTCAGTGATGGAGGGACCCAGAGGAAGAGAAACAAGTTGAGAATCAAGCTCAAAAGGGACTAAGAGTGAAGCTGCTGAGCCCCAGAAAAGTATCCTCATAGAGACCACAGACAAGCCAGACTCAGGGTGAAGGAAAAGAGTAACCTAAAAGTGTTACACTGATACAGCCCTACCACTGCCAGAGTCCATGCCTGAACCTGGCACACAAAGGCTACATGCAGCAGTGGCTGATGGATTCTGGAACACCATGGAGCTCAAAAGTCAGAGAAGAGAGAAATGGAAGAAGTCAGAGAACATAGGGATGGAAGAAGTCAGAGAAGGGATGGAGAACATCAGAGAAGGGATGGAGGACATCAAAGAAGGGATGGAGGAAGTCAGAGAAGGGAAGAAGGATATCAGAGAAGGGATGGAGGACATCAGAGAAGGGATGGAGGAAATCAGAGAAGGGATGGAGGACATCAGAGAAGGGATGGAGGACATCAAAGAAGGGATGGAGGACATCAAAGAAGGGATGGAGGAAGTCAGAGAAGGGATGGGGGAAGTCAAAGAAGGGATGGAGGATATCAGAGAAGGGATGGAGGATATCAGAGAAGGGATGGAGGACATCAGAGAAGGGATGGAGGACATCAGAGAAGGGATGGAGGACATCAGAGAAGGGATGGAGGACATCAGAGAAGGGATGGAGGACATCAGAGAAGGGATGGAGGACGTCATCAGAGAAGGGATGGAAGACATCAGAGAAGGGATGGAGGACATCAGAGAAGGGATGAAGGACATCAAAGAAGGGATGGAGGAAATCAGAGAAGGGATGGAGGACATCAGAGAAGGGATGGAGGACATCAGAGAAGGGATGGAGGACATCAGAGAAGGGATGGAGGACATCAGAGAAGGGATGGAGGAAATCAGGAAAGTAGAGTGAAAGTCAGAGAAGGGTGTGGAAATTTACAGATGGGTTGGAGGAAGTTAAGAAGAAATAGATGAAGACAGGCAGATGGCCGTGGAGTGTACAGGGCTTGTTATTGACACAGCCATCCCTGAACTCTTCTGTGCACCATTCCTGCCAGTGGCCCCTCAGCTAACAGTTCAGAGTAAGGATGTCGTCCTGGGAGGAGGATCAGGTGCAGACTGACTACACTCACTTTATGTCTTGTTCCTAGAATCCTAATTGCAGCAATGTTCCAGCCATGATTAGCTGAGCTTCTTTGGTGAAGGTGCATCCCTTTCTGTATATAGAAATAGCATCCCATATTCTGTACAGTACTGAGGGAAGTAAAATAAAAGGATGCATGCATCTCTGAGTGAAGAGCCGAAGCTCTTATGTGCGCCATATGTGCAAATGTGTTGCTTTTCATTGAGCAGTGAGTGGTGGGGACAGCTTTACAGAGATGGGGCTGAAGCCAAATACTCCCCTAATTCTGTATTCCCTGTCTCTTGTCCTGTATCCTCCTCCAGGAGCCCCCCTGGACCCCACCTTCATCTTCCAGTCCATCACAGCCAACATCATCTGCTCCATTGTCTTTGGAGAGCGCTTTGATTACAAAGACCGCCAGTTTCTGAGCCTCTTGCACCTGATCTATCAGATCTTCTCGCTCATCAGCTCATTCTCCAGCCAGGTCAGTGGGTGGGAAGAGAGGAGCATTGAAGGCAGAGGAAAGATAAGGCTGCTTAGTGAGTATAGAAGGGAGTGTCTTATGGCTGGAAGAAAGACAGAGAAAACATGGAAAAACAAGGAGTCTGTGACCTGGAGGGATGGAAGGAAGGAGGAACAGAAAGAGAGAGGGATGTTGAGCAAGGTAGAGAGACCTGGATATAGAAATACAGAGCCGTCTAGACATGAGAAAATGATGACAAGGGGATACAGCTGTTACTTAGAGGACAGAGGATACAGTACTTCATGTCCAAGCCCTTGAGTTCATCCCCAGGACTTTGTGGTGTACAACACATGAAATTCCAGCATTTTGGTGTTGGAGACTGGGCTATGAGAAATTTAGGCTGATCCTAGGCTACATGTTGAATTTAAAGCCTGTGTGGCATTAATGTGTTCAAAATACAGTAAGACATAAATTAAAACAAATTAAGACAAAACAGCAAGGAAGATGGGAGAGAGCGCAGAGGAGAGGAAAGGGAGACACAGAGATGTAAACTGAAGGCTAGAGACTGATTTGAAGATACAGTTCAAGGCATGTGTACGTATGGTGTGCATGTATGAGAGGGGGGTGTGGGTGGATATGTGTGTGGGTGTGTGTGTGTGTGTGTGTGTGTGTGTGTGTCTACATTCCTTCATGATATCTGTGGACCTAGAAACACTGGTCACCTGAGACCTGCTCGTTCCAGGTGATCTCATCAGTCCTTCTTTCTCGCAGGTGTTTGAGCTCTATTCGGGTTTCCTGAAATTCTTTCCTGGTGCCCACCGACAAATCTGCCAAAAGATTCGTGAAGTCCTTGACTACATTGGCCACAGCGTGGAGAAGCACCAGGAAACCTTGGACCCAAACAATCCAAGAGACTTCATCGATACCTACCTTATACGCATGGAGAAGGTAAGTCCTGTGTGAATGAGAGGGGATGGCTGAGAGTGAAGGCTGAGGATGTGAATGGAGGAAAAGAGGGGACAGAGGATGGGGAGGAGAGACAGGAAATAGAGTGGAGGATATGCAGAAGCATCTGGAAAATGATGAAAATAAAAAGGAGAAAATGTGGTAGGGAGAAAGAAGGCTGGGGAGGGAACACAGTGCAAAAGACAAAAAGCAGAAAAGACCTCTGAGGAAAAAGAGCCTGGGAGACAAAAAATGATAAACTACCAGAGAACACAGTAGAGAGAGAAGACAGAGCAGAGACCAAGTAACATTGTCGAAGACTGAGAAATGCCATGTGGTCCAGATAGTGAGACAGAAGAACAGTTCCCAGGATGTGTGTGCATCTCCCTGCAAGGCTCCAGGCACCCTGACCCTCCCTTCTCTTTCCCATCGGGAACCAGGAGAAGTCCAACCAACACACAGAGTTCCATCACCAGAACCTCATGATCTCCGTGCTGTCTCTCTTCTTTGCTGGCACCGAGACCAGCAGCACCACGCTCCGCTTTGGCTTCCTGCTTCTGCTAAAATACCCCCATGTAGCAGGTGAGCCACAGGCGGCCAGTAGGGGGATCTTCTAGCTACCCTTTTCTGCAGAGGTTTGTGAGGATAAGAGAGACATGAGACTCTTACATCTGGAGCTCTGAAGGCTTTGCTCAACTTCTAACCTAAGGCAGTGCTGTGGGCGGTGTGTGAATGAACACTCAGCTGGTCCATTTCCAATGTTTTCTGCTATAACTTGAAGGTTGATTCATCTATCCCCTTTTCCTTCCTTCCCTCCCTCCCTTCCTTCCTTCCTTCCTTCCTTCCTTCCTTCCTTCTGTCTTTGTATCCTTCTGATACTCACTCCTCTTTCTGTCCATCCACCCGTTCATCTATTTACCATTCTATTTGTGTTTCATCCATTATCTAACATCTATATATTCATTTTCCCTCTACACACCTGTGCACCCACCATTAATACTCTGCCCATCTTCTCTATACTCATAGATTTTTAATCCTTGATTCTTTCATCTCTGTTTGACACAATGATTTATATTTCATTCATTTATTTGGATGAATTAGTTTGTGAGTTTTATTCTTTCACAGCTATTTGAGCAGGCTCTCTGTCATTTATTCATTGGTTCATTCATATACAAATCTTCCTTAAGCCTTTCAACTGGCCTTTGAATTAACCCTTCATGTGTCCATCTATTCCTCCATGTATTTATTTACAAATTCATTTATTTATTTGTAATTTTCTCATCATTCAACAACCTACCTGTTTTTTCCTATAACTGCTCATTTATTCATCCACATATTTGCTTTATGTTTGGTTAGTTGTAGTCATTGATGCATTTGTGTATGCTCCATTTTTTGAGTTGTTAATTGATTAATACAGAGAGTAAGAAATAGAATATGGACATCCAGTTTTGCTTTGCTCATTTCACTCACTCAGCAATCTTTCCTTTAGTACCCAACTCATCCATTTCTTGGCTGACTTACACACTCACATTCTAAGAATTTGAAATCAATATGATGTTGTTGTGAGTTTGTCTGCTGCAGCTCATGTGTGGAGGTGGGAGGACAACTTTGTGCAGTTGGGTCTCTCCTGCACATTCACACGGGTTCTGATGTCAAAGCTAGGCAATCAGGATGGAAATCAACGCATTTGCTGACTGAGCCCTTTCATCGGCCATCATATTCACCAATGTGTTCATATTCTGTGTTCAGTTATACACAGATTTATTTACTTCCCTTTTATTACTGAGGATATAGCCTCAGATTGTTAGCCTGTGTTTTTAATTTTTAAATTAATGTTCATTGCTGTTTTGTCTGTATATATGTCTTTGTGAGGGTGGTGGATCCACTGGACCCAGAGTCACAGACAGTGTGAGCTCCATGATGGTGCTGGAAATTTAACCTGGGTCCTCTTCAAGAGCATCCAGTGCTCTTAACCACTGAGACATCTTCTCTCCAGCTTCCTGGATTGTTAAATTGTTAAATATAAATTCCATGCAAAGAACTCTCTCTCTCTCCTGTTATGCAAGAACACAAATTATAAAATTCCGTTTCACATGCAGAGAATTCTGACCATCTTCCCCTCCAGCCCTTAGACTGATAGATATAAATAGCCCTTTGCTATGGGTTTTCCTTTTCTCTCTTTTATGAGCAAGGTTGGAGCTTGGGAGAGAGCCTCTAACACAGCTCCAAGTGTGGCTGGAGAGACAGATGCCTGAGAGAAGTGTAGGTGTGCATGTCCCAGAGTGCAGTGTGTCTTTCTCAACAGATTCTCCTGGCTCTGCACTGCCCTAAGGTATTGCTTACAATAAACAGGGTCACTGTGCATTGCCTTTGTGAAGGGGGCAAGCATTGTCTGCTGTCTCCCTTTTCTGTGCAGAGAAAGTCCAAAAGGAGATCGATCAGGTGATTGGCTCACACCGCCCACCAACCCTTGATGACCGCACCAAAATGCCTTACACTGAAGCTGTCATTCGCGAGATCCAGAGATTTGCAGATATTCTCCCGATTGGAGTGCCTCACAAAGTCACCAAAGACACTTTGTTCCGAGGGTACCTGCTCCCCAAGGTGAGACCAGATGCCATTCCACATCTCTATGCCATGGTCATTCTCCACTCTCCCAATCACCACTGTAGGCCTATTTGTGGTTTCCGGGCATTCCTTGGATCTCTAAGGACTGACTGTCAGCAGATGGGAGCCAGGGTATGCTAATATCATTGCCTCTCACAATGTCTACTAGAACACTGAAGTGTACCCCATCCTGAGTTCAGCTCTCCATGACCCACGGTACTTTGAACAACCAGATGCCTTCAATCCTGACCACTTCCTGGATGCCAGTGGGGCTCTCAAGAAAATTGAAGCTTTTATGCCCTTCTCTATAGGTAAGACTGACCTGTACTTCATTTCCCAGACACTAGAGGGCAGGCTTACCCTCCAGGATACAGTCAGGACTAGGTGTAGTTTATTCCAGCCTGGAACCCACTGGACCTGGCTACTGTCCCGGAGGGGTCTCTTGAACTAAAGGTGCATCCTGCTCAGGAGGATTTTGGAGAGGTATTGAAAAGTCTCTAAATCTGAGCAAATTCATTTTCTTATTTATTTTATTATCAGGGGAGAACCTTTTTAAATGAGTGAAACTATTTGTCTCTAATCATGATTAAATGGCTGACACAGAAGAAGAAAGAATGTTCACAGAGAACACAATGAGCTTAGAGCACAACCAGGCTCCTCCCACCGCTCCCAGCCTTAAAAAAACAGATTAATTAATAGAGAGGAAGGGAGCACAAATATTCCCAGGTCAAGACGTTCGGGATGTCTTTATATCAATGTAGCAATGCCCACGTAAAATCCTCAAAAGTGTAGAAGACAGTTCCTCCACTTTAGAAATTGCAATGATCAAAATAAGCCATCTGTTGTTTTCTGGTTACATCAAATCCATCAATTCTTTCTTTTCCTATTAGACTTCTGTTTATGAATTTTCTACCTTTATTAAAAATAGATTATTTCCTCATAGAATATATGCTGATTGCAGTTTCCCCTTCGCTCTTCTCCTTTCAGTTCCTCTCCACTCTCTCACCCCACCGTGGGTCCTTTTCTGTCTCTCATTAGAAAAGAACTGGTTTCTAAGTGACAACAACCAAACATGATGAAATTAAATAGAAGATAAAACAAAAACCATCACTTCAATGTTATACAGTGCAAATGAACAGAAAAAGTAGAGCCCACGAGAAGGCACTAGAACCAGAGACCCACTCATTTGCACACTCAGGAATCCATGGGAACACTAAACTGAAAGCTATAAGATGTGCACAGAGGACCTGGTGCAGACCCGAGCAGGCCCTGTGCCTGCTGCCTCAGTCTGAGTTCATATGAGCTTTGCTCAGTTGGTTCAGAGCCTCGTTCTCTTGGTGTTCTGCATCCACTCTCTTACCCTCTTTCTGCCTCCTCTTCCTCTGGGTTCTCTGAGCTCTGACGAGAGGGTTTTGACAAAGACATTCCATTTAGATCTCTGTGTTCCAAGGTTTCTCTCTCCTTGAAACGTCTGGCTGTGTCTCTGTGAATTTGTTTCCATCTGGTGCAGGAGGAAGCTTCTCTGGTCACCACCAGAGAATAAGGAAGGCATTGATTCATGAGTGTAGCAGAATATCTTTAAGAGTTTTTTGTTATTTTTTTCCTTTTGAGCAATAGCATTTTTTATCCTATGTCTCTGGGCTATCTAGTCCCTGGTTCTTGGTCACTCAAGAAATGCCGCATATTCAAACCATACATTGGATAATTACTCCCACAATGCACTGCATTGTGCCACTGTTGAGCCCTAGTATATCATATGGTTCATCACAGATTTTGTGGCTGGGTTGGTATATACATGTTTGAAAGGAAGTTCTTCTTATTCATTCCATCTGGCCAGCCAGCTTATACCCAAAATAATCACACAGAAATTGTATTCATTAAAACACTGCTTGGCCATTAGCTCTAACTTCTTACTGGCTCACTCTTACGTATTAGTTTAACCCATCTCCATTCATCTGTGTTTCCCTACGTGGCATTGGCTTGCTGGAGATTCTAACTGGTATCTGTCTCAGGCAGAGGATCCATGGCTTCTCTCTGACTCTGCCCTTCTTCCTCTCAGCCTTCAGTTTTCTTTTCTCTGCCTATCTAAATTCTGCCCTATTAACTAGGCCAACGCAGTTTCTTTTTCGTTAACCAATGAAAGCAACAAACAGAAGGAACTCCTACACCATATACATTTGTCTTTTAGTAGCCTGTAGAACACCTTCCTATGTATTTCACAGGGTGAAAGTTCTATATAGGCAACAGCTAGATGTCTCCAGTACAATGAGTTGTTTGGGTTATTCTCTTCCCCAATGGGCCTTGTTGTCAGTTTGTGGAGTCAACCTATTGTCTTGGAAACAGCCTTGGGTTGTTTGGGGTCTTCCATGGGACCCCTTTGGCCAGCAACTCAAATGAATGTAGCTCAGTCCTGAAACTAGAAGCTTCATTTAGTGAGAAGAGATGGCCAGTTGGGACCATGTCTTCTCTCATTATTTGGAGACTTCATTTGAATTGCTTTTCTGTAGTTTAGGAAGTTTCTACTGTACTAGGTTTCCAAACCAACACTCAAAGCCCCTCAATTTTAGCTGTCTCTCCACATACTTTATTACTTAAGCCCATATCTCCACCAACTTAAACATCCCATTCCTGTCCCTTCTCTATCCATGAACCCAGGGAGATTCATATTCCCTTCCTAGTACTTTTGTCTGTATCTAACCTTTCTGGGTCTATGGATTGCAGTTTAGTTATCATTTATTTAATGGTTAATATCCACTTGTAAGTGAGTACATGCCATGTTTGTCTTTCTGGTCTGGGCCACCTCACATAGGATTCTTTTCTAGTTCCATCACTTTGCCCGAAATTTCATGATGCTGTTTTTTTTTTTTACATAGAATTCATATTTTATTTTATTTATTAAAAATTTCCTCCTCCTCCCCGCCTCCCTTTTCTCTCCCCCTCCCCCCGCTCCCCACCCCCTTCCTCTCCAGTCCAAAGAGCAGTCAGGGTTCCCTGCCCTGTGGGAAGTTGAAGGTCCTCCCCTCTCCATTCAGGTCTGTTTTTTTAAACAGCTGGATAATACTCCATTGTATAAATGTAACACATTTTATTCATCCTTCTTTTGAGTAATACGTAGGTTGTTTCTAATTCTGGCTTCTAATACTAGAACAGCAATGAGCGTGTTTGAACAAGTGTCTGTATGGTAGGATTAAGCGTCCTTTGGGTATATGCCCAAGAGTGGTATAGCTGCATCTGGAAAAAGGTGGGTTCCTAACTTTATAGGGAAATGCCACACTGATTTGCATAGTGGCTGTATAAGTTTGTACTCCACCCGCAATGGAGGACTGTTCCCCTTACTCCACATCCTCTCCAGCATGAGCTGTCACTTGTGTTATTGATCCTAGCCATTCTGAAGGTGTAAGAAGGAAACCCCAACTCATTATGATTAATATTTCCCAGATGACTAAAGCTGCTGAACATTTCTTTAAATTTTTCTCAGTCATATGAGTTTGCTCTATTGAGAATTCTCTGTTGAAATCTGTATGCCATTTTTATATTGGATTATCTCTTTTTATGTCTAATTGCCTGAGTTCTTAATATATTTTGAATATTAGTCTTGTATTTGATGTGGAGTTGGTAATAGTCTTTCTTCTTCTTTAGGCTGCCACATTTGACCTAATGATGATGACCTTCATCTTGCAAAAGGTTTTCATTTTCATGAGTTCCCACTTTAAATTGTTGATCTTAGTGTCTGTGCTATTCTTGTTCTGTTCAGGAAGTCATCACCTGTGTGAATGAGTTCAAATCTATTCCCCACGTTCTCTTCTATTACACTCAGTGTATTTGGTTTTATGTTAAGGTTTTGATCCATCTGAAGTTGAGTTGTGTGCAGTGTGGAGAGTTTGGAACTATTTGCATTCTCCTACATTCAGTCATCCGATTTGACCAGCACCATTTGTTGAGGATGCTGTCTTTTTTCCCAGTGTGTATTTCTAGCTTCTTTGGAAGGACATTGTTTTTACTATGCTAATCCTACTGATTTATCAGCATAGGAGGTCTTTCCATCTTCTCATGTCTTCTCCAATTCTTTCTCAAAGACTTGAAGTTTTTATTGCACAAGACTTTCACTTGCTTGGTTAGAGTTACCCCAGGATATTTATATTATGTGAAGCTATTGTGAAAGGTGTTGTTTCCCTTGGTTCTTTCTCAGTTCGTTTGTCAGTTGTATATTGCAAGGTTTTTGTGAGTTAATTTTGTGTTCAGCTATTTTGCTGAAAGTGTTTATCAGCTGTAGGAATTACCCAGTGGAAATTTTTGGAACACACAGACACACAGACACACACACACACAATTATATCATCTGATAATAAGTGTATTTTAACTTCTTCCTTTTCAATTTGTATGCCCTTGGTCTCCTTCAGTTGTATTATTACTTTAGCTATGACTTCAAGTATTCAATTGAATAGATGTTTAGATTTTAGACAACATTGTCTTGTTCTGAATTTTAGTGGAATTGCTTTGAGTTCCTCTCTCTTCAAGTTGATGTGGGCTGTAGGCATGCTGTAAACTGTCTTTGTTATGTGTAGGTATGTCCCTTGTGTCTCTGTACTCTCCAGTACATTTATCATGAAGGGGCATTCGTTATTGTTAAAGTCTTTTCTGCATCCAATAAGATGAGCACATGGGTTTTCTTTCATTTTATTTATATTTATTAATGTTTCATATATTGAACCATCCTAGATCTCTGGACTGAAACCTTTGATCATGGTAGATGATCTTTTTGATGTGTTCTTGGATTTTATAGAGTGCTTTTGCCTTTATAAGGCAAATTAGTCTGTGATTCTCTTTCTTTGTGGTTTGGGTGTCAGGGCAACGGTTGTCTCATAAAATGAACTGGACAATATTAGTTCTGTTTCTATTTTGTAGAATAATTTGAGGAGTATTGACCCGAACTCCTCTTTGAAAGTCTGATGGAATTCTGTTTTGAAACTTTCTGTTCCTAGGTTTTCTTTTTTTTTTCCTGAGATGTGGGAGGAGGGGAGGTTGAGAGACTTTCAGTGACTGTTTCTATTTTTCTAGGGACTATAGGTCTGTTTAAATTCCTTATTTGACATTGATTTAACTTTTATAAGTAGTACCTATCAAGAAAAGTATCCATTTCTTTTAGAGTTTTCAATTTGGTGGAATACAAGTTTTTTAAATATGTTCTTTAAATTGTCTGATTTCCTTGGTGGGCTCTAGTGGAGACACATTGTCCTGGCTGTTCCTGATTGTGTTTTAATGCTGGCATCCAGGAATCTGCTTTTGGGGTAATTATAGATCTAGGTGCCGATTTCTGGGTTTGTCTTTTTTGGGTGGGTGTTTGGTTTCTGGGTTTTAGGTTAGCATGATGGCTGTGTGTTGCCTCTTAGTGTATTTTCTTTGGAACTGTTTTTCTGCCCTGCCCACCTGGTGTGTTCCTAAGGAATGCCTGCTGGTGTTGGAGGCTGGGATAATGGGCTGAGTTGGGAGAAGGAAGATTGGAGGAGAAGATCTTTGTGATTCATTGGGGATGGGGTCAGGGAGGCAAGGGAGAGCACACCAGGCATTCTGCTGCAGAGCTGGAGGTGAGATGGGGACAGTAGGGGTGGATCTGGAGAATCAGAAAGAGAAGTGTGGATTCTCTGTCAGCCTACCTGCTTCCCTGGTCATTGTGGCCTTTGGGTTAGTAAAGGGTGTCTTATGGGGAAGATCAGGGAAATCCAAAGAGATGGGGAATGTGGGTAGGGAAGGCTGCAGCAAGGGTTCTGTTGCAGAGGTGGGATGAGGACTGGGGTTTGGTTCTTGGGGGACAGAGGGAGAGGTGAAGATCTGCAGTCAGTCCACCTGGACCCAGGGCAGGAGTGGAGTGTGGGTTAGCAGAGAGAGTGCGAATTGTTTTTCTTAGGGAACAACAACAAGAAGAAATGACATCATCTATGAACTGCCATGAGCTTGTAAGGCATTCGGCTAGGGAGGGATTTATCTGTGAGCACTGGGGAGATGAGGCATGTCCTGACACACTTGTCTGTATTAAATACTCATTGGCTTGTTAAACTCTAAGAGAGATCAAAATTACTAACATTTATTTTTTCTAAGAACCCATTCATTATGGATAATCTCCTGAACTAGAGAAAGGTCAGAGTTACAGCACCCATCGGTGTCTGTAGACCAATGGGCATTGGGCATGGACAAACAGCTTGATGGGTTCCAGCTCTGCTTTTGCCCCACTTGGCCATGCTGAGGTCATTGGCAGCCATAGGTCAACTGCTGTGAGTGACTGAGTTTTGTTCTTCACTGGAAGAATATAATGTCAAATTAGTGTGTTGTTCAGTTGCTGGTGTTTGGTTACTTTGTTAAGTACAGAAGCTGCATCTGCCCAAATTTAATTCAGTTGAATGGACTCTATGGGAGTAAACAGAAAATTTGTGTTCAGGTTTCTTATCTGAATACAAATAGAAAGAAAGGTTCTAGAAACAATTGGTTAGCTTTTAGTTGCCCCCCCCCCCCATCATGCTAGAGATGGAGCCCAATTCTATGTGTTACCATGGTAAACAAGTTCTTCTATTCTAGAGTCTACACCTCCAGATCCCCCCTTGTGCATTCTAGAGATGCTCTCCTGCTGAGCATGTCTGTCCTCTTCCCCTCACATAGGGATTTCAGGCAAGTGTTCTCCTGCTGAGCCATGTCTCCTCTAGGAAATTTCTAGTCCTGAGTTCCAAGTGACTTCAGTGTCCCTGAGCTTAGTCCTGCTCCTGAATTGTTCATATGACTGTCCCAAGTGTAGGAAGGCAGGGATGTGAAAAATAAACTGAGACAAATCAACAATAGAGAGGTCTGGAGACTGAGACATATTACAATAAAGAGAGAGACACAGGGACACAAGGAATCTACAATAGGAGGCTGCCTTTCATGCTAAGAAGTCTCACTGACCCTTGCACCAATTGTTTAAGGTTTTGTAAAAGTCTTACTGTTCTCACTTGAATTGCAGGTTGATGATCAATATTATTCTTATCCATTGAAATGGGAGGGTTGTCTGAGTTTAGGCATGAAACAGTCTGAAGGTTATATATTGTGCTGGGGCTCACATGGCTCATTCTCTGTGCCCACAGGAAAGCGCATTTGTCTTGGCGAAGGAATTGCCCACAACGAATTGTTCCTTTTCTTCACCACCATCCTCCAGAACTTCTCTGTGTCCAGTCCCGTGGCTCCTAAGGACATTGACCTCAGGCCCAAGGAGAGCGGCTTGACCAAAGTGGCTCCTACATACCAGATCCAGTTCTTGCCCCGCTGACTGGGCTGCGGTGGCCAGGTGTCCCCACTCCTGTTGAGAATGGCCCCATCTTCTGCCTCTGAGACCTGCTGCCAACCAGGCTGTAGGTCACTGCTTACACCCTTCTACCTTAATGCAGCTTCTGCAAAGCTCCAAGGGGTGTTCTTCTGCCCTGAGAATGGCACTGGGGAAATCACTCAGTGTCTTTCTTGATGTGTGAACTGAGAGACTTCAGAAGGCCACATCTCATGCTGAGTCAGTCCTCTATTGCACCCAGCAACCACAGTTTCCATGTAGAGACTTCTGGTGTCCATCATCTAATCTAATAGATGCTGGCCATGTCAGATGATGAGCAGGTGAAATTGACGTTCAAGGTGTCATTTCACCATGAGGAAAACTCTGTGATGGCTTAACATGCTTTATTCCAGACTATGAGGACAAAGACTCTGCAATATCTGTTGATTCTACTTTGTTTTTACATGTTTGTTGCTACAATCTTTCCCTGGTATCTGGCTTGGTATGAGTAGATGTGAGGAGACCCTACTGTCTGTAACATACTATGTTTCTCTCATGAAAAAAACCTGATATACTGGGCTTTTTTATCTGTGGATTGTCAAGAAGATGGTTCTTCCATAACTGTGCTGTCTAATTGATATAATGTTAGCTTATACAGAATTTTGATAAATAAAAGTGAGCACAAGCAGATAATATACAGACATTGCCTATGAGTTCCTCCTGAGGGTCTGCTACAGATCCCAACTCAAGTTAAGAAAAACAATGAGCCAGCTGTCTCAAATTCCTTGAATCTTAATGCTCAGAAATGTGTCACAGGTTTTAGTGTGCACCATTAGTTGAAATAAAGCTTCAAAATAACTTTGGATTGCACCAGATGCCTTGATCATTGTGCTTTTAAGATAAACTACTCCAGAAAATCAATCTAACATTCAGAAGACACATAGCTGAACTGCTGATTCATTTAGGCTAGATTCATAAATACAAAACAGCCCAGTTATTGCCAGCTGACAGATGACTAACTTCTTGCACCCATTCCTGACCTCAAATTGCTGATATAGGTGTGCACCCTGAAGACTTGTGTCTTGTTGACTATGTCCTTTGCTATACAGAAGCTTCTCAATATAGGAGATCTATCTCATTTATTATTTCTCTCAATGTTTGTGCCACATAGGCTATGTTAGAGATTTACCAATGCATTCAAGTGTACTTCTAACTTTTTATTCTATAAGGTTCAATGTGGTTAGTTTTATGTTGAGGACTTTGATTCATTTGGATTTCAGTTTAGTGTTGGAACTTTTTCATTATTCTGTATGTTGACGTCTAGTTAGGTCAGCATCATTAGTTAAATATGCTTTCCTTTTCCATTTTCAGCTAGGAAAACTTGCAACTTAAGAAGAGGATAGTTTACAAACTTTTAACTAAATATATAATGGTTAAAGCCTTAGTTGTAATATTCTTATGGGAGATGTTGAGCTACAAAGTAAAATTTTTAAAGGGAGCAATGAGCCAATTTCCAATAGAGAGCTTATAAAACCTGACTAACGGGTACTCGAGCAGGTTGAGTATAGATCAACAGGTAGAGTATACAATAATCAGCACGCACAGTATAACAATTATGATTCAGCTATGCCAAGTGTGTGTATTAAGTATAAAACTTATTCTATAGAACTTTTATAAAAAAAACCAGGATTCTTTTTATGTCTGCACATTCCCATTTTTGCCAGTTAAGTTATTAAACTTTTAACTTAAAGCAGTATCTTGTCTAATAAAAAGAACAGGATAAAGTCTAGGAGATAGTTTAGCAGAGAATTGAATATGATCAATGTTTCTTATACTAAGCAATATATTAATTAATAATTTTAAGATATTGATTCTTGGACAATTGTATTTGCTCAATTCAATGGCCATAGTAATGGTCTTTTTCCAAATGAACATTGCTGCAATTCACACAGCTATATTTTGCTAATGGTATAGCTAATAATCCATGAAAAGATGTTATGCTGAATTTTACAAATGGCTTTTCCAACAGAAGGATTGCATGTATGGCTAATAATGAAAAGGAATTGTGGAGCATAATATGGCTCCGTGAAAACAACTTAAAAGGATAAAAGTTGCAAACTGAAATTCTGCAGACAGATCTGGCATAATGGCAGGATGATGACCGTTACTAAGGTAACGTGAAAAATAACCCTTGCAATGAATTATGAAAAGACCTGACCTATATTAATTTTGGCATTGAAAATGTGTTTGTGTTATTTTTCACAGAGATAAAATAAAGCTAGATGAGATGACTACATATACAGTAAAGGAGTGGCAGACCTGATGACATCGTAGCTGCAAATTCCCCCATATAGGCGTTCAAGAAAGGAGTTAGAAAGGAATCCTTGACCCAGTCTTCCCACCCCCACAGAGAGGAGTGCCTAATCCCAGGACCTCTGCCAACACTCTACACTTCAAGGTGCCATGCTGCTCTGAGGGAGAGATGCTGAGCTGCTTCCAGACACTTGGGACACACTGACACAGACCCAGAGGCCCGGCTGATATGACCTTACCATGATGACTACAATTTTTCTGCAGTTTGAATCCTGTTTGCTTTGGAGCTGAGATTCAGACTGAACATTGACTGTTTTAATCATTGAGACGTAAATGTTTGGATTTAATGCATATGTTAATCATTTTCATTAAAATACTGGACCCGAGAACTAAAACCTAAGCTTTCCCCTTAGGGAAAGAAAGACTCAGAATAAGGAATGACTAAAACCTCTCTTCAGTTAAGAAGGGGGACAGTCTAAGGGTTTACCTGCTACTCAGATACTGGAACTGGTATTTGATAACAGCAATGTCATTGTACTTTTACCCATCAGAAAAGCTTTTCTTCTCTTTTGATTAATGTGGACTTAAGAAAATTATGATATGTTTAATTGTTGATTTATTGTTACTGTATTGACCTAAAAATGATGATATTTGTAACTGTATATAAGGTGTTGAGAAAAGTTGGTATTGACCAATAATGCTGAGAATTATGGTATTGACCTGATAATGTTTGTAATTACTTATAGATGTTCAGAAAGGTTTCACACATACTGTAAATGTTTGGATTTAATGCATATGTTAAGAATTTTAGACATTGATATGATGTGAAAATTTTAAGAGGTGCTCTAAACTAGCTGAAGAAGTATTTTCAACTCATGTGATCCTCTTCTCCTTTAAATAGGAGACTATAGCCTTTAGGAGCATAATTTTCCATAAAACATTATAATTTATTCTGGACAAGAAAGTATGGCTCTGAGTTACAGAGCTCAATGGTATCTCTCTCCCTTACTCCCTTTTCTTCACAGAGATCAGCAGTCAATGACGCGTTTTTTTTTTCAAAGGCAGAAGCGATTGTTTATTTACTTTTTTTGTTGTTGTTGTTGTCTTTTTTCTTATGAGTTCACAGCCTTAGCTTGGTTTATTTCTAGCCAGCAGGAAAAAAAAGTATCCGCCTCCTCCCAGCCTCCCATTTCCCTCCCCCTCCTCCCATCCTTCTCCCCCTTCCCCCCACTCCTCTCCCCCTCCCTCTCCAGACCAAAGAGCAGTCAGGGTACCCTGCCCTGTGGAAAGTCCAAGGTCCGCCCCCCTCCATCCATGTCTAGGAAGGTGAACATCCAAACTGGCTAGGCTCCCACAAAGCCAGAACATAAAGTAGGGTCAAAACTCCGTGCCATTGTCCTTGGCTTCTCATCAGCCCTCATTGTTCGCCATGTTCAGAGAGTCCGGTTTTATCCCATGCTTTTTCAGTCACAGTCCAGCTGGCCTTGGTGAGCTCCCAATAGATCAGCCCCACTGTCTCAGTGGGTGGGTGGACCCCTCATGGTCCTAACTTCCTTGCTCATGTTCTCCCTCCTTCTGCTCCTCATTGGGACCTTGGGAGCTCAGTCCAGTACTCCAGTGTGGGTCTCTGTCTCTATCTCCATCCATCACAAGATGAAGGTTCTATGGTGATATGCAAGATATTCGTCAGTATTGCTCTAGGATAGGGTCATTTCAGGTTCCCTATTCTCAGCTGCCCAAGTGACTAACTGGGGACATCACCATGAGCTCCTGGGAGCCACTCTAGGGTCAAGTCTCTTTGCCAACCCTAAGGTGGCTACCTTAACTAAGAATTGTGCTTCTGTGCTTCCCTATCCAACCTTCCTTTATCCCAATCCTCCTGTTTCCCCAAGTTCCCCCCATCCTCCCCTTCTCACTTTTCTCTCCCCATCTCCCCTTACCCCCATCCCACCCCACCCCCAAGATCCCAATTTTCTCCCCGGCAATTTGGTCTACTTCCCATAGCCAAGAGGATAACTATATGTTTTTCCTTGGGTTCACCTTCTTATTTAGCTTCTTTAGGTTCACCAATTGTAGTCTCCGTGACCCTTATTTATGATTAGAAACCAATTATGAGTGAGTACATCCCGTGTTCATCTTTTTGGGTCTGGGATACCTCATTCAGAATAGTGTTTTCTATTTCCTTTCATTTGCATGCAAAATTCGAGAAGTCATTGTTTTTTACCGCAGCTTAGTACTCTAATGTGTAGATATTCCATACTTTCTTCATCCATTCTTCCAATGAAGGGCATCTAGGTTGTTTCCAGGTTCTGGCTATTACAAATAAAACTGCTATGAACATAGTTGAACAAATGCTTTTGTCATATGATAGGGCATCTCTTGGGTATATTCCCAAGAGTGGTATTGCTGGGTCCAGGGGTAGGTTAACCTCGAATTTCCTGAGAAACCAAAACACTGATTTCCACAGTGGTTGCACAAGATTGCATTCCCACCAGTAATGGATGAGGGTACCCCTACCTCCACAGCCTCTCCCAGAAAGGCTATCCTTGGTGTTTTTGACTTTAGCCATTCTGACAGGTGTAAGACGATATATCAAAGTTGTTTTGATTTTCATTTCCCTGATTGCTAAGGAGGTTGAGCATGACCTTAAGTGTCTTTTGGCCATTTGAAATTCTTGTGTTGAGAATTCTCTGTTCAGTTCAGTGTCCATTTTTAATTGGGTTGATTAGCATTTTAAAGTCTAATTTCTTGAGTTCTCTATATATTTGGAAATCAGACCTTTGTCTGTTGCAGGGTTGGTGAAGATCTTCTCGCAGTCACTGGGTTGACTTTTTGTCTTAGTGACAGTGTCCTTTGCTTTACAGAAGCTTCTCAGTTTTAGTAGGTCCCATTTATTCAATGTTGCCCTTAATGTCTGTGGTGCTGGGGAAATACATAGGAAGTGATCTCCTGTGCCCATCTGTTGTAGGGTATTTCCCACTTTCTCTTCTATCAGGTTCAGTGTGTTCAGATTGATATTGAGGTCTTTAATCCATTTGGACTTGAGTTTTGTGCATGGTGATAGATATGGATCTATTTTCATTCTTCTACAGATTGACATCCAGTTTTGCCAGCACAATTTGTTGAAGATGCTCTCTTTTTTCCATTGTATACTTTTAGCTCCTTTATCGAAAATGAGGTGATCATAGGTTTGTGGGTTAAAATCCGGGTCTTCTATACGAGTCCATTGGTCGACTTCTCTGTTTTTATGCCAGTACCACACTGTTTTCATTACTGTAGCTCTGTAATAGAGTTTGAAGTCAGGGATGATAATGCCTCCAAATGATCCTTTATTGTATAGGATTGTTTTGGCTATCCTGGGTTTTTTGTTTTTCCATATAAAGTTGATTATTGTCCTCTCAAGATCTGTGAAGAATTTTGATGGGATTTTGATGGGGATTGCATTGAATCTATAAATTGCCTTTGGTAGAATTGCCATTTTTACTCTGTGGATCCTCCCAATCCAAGATCAAGGGAGGTCCTTCCATTTTCTGGTATCCTCTTCA